AATTTCGCGTTGCGATTTTCATTTTCGCGTTGCGATTCTCTCGTTGCGATTTTCATTTCGTATTGCGATAGTACTTTTTGCCTTCAACATAATGCAGATTGAAATCAAAAAAATCAACCATTACATTTCAATCAATTAAACAAGCACAAATAAGAATTATGTTAACATCAATTAAACAAATCAACTTTTACAAATCACCTTTTACAAATCAATTAAACAATCAAAAATAAGCAATAATTATTAGAGAAAATAACACTTCTACTATTGAATCAACTTTTGCAGCCATACATCATTTTCACGCAGCTCACTTCTGAGATTAACCTGCATAAACCAAACATTGCTCAAACAACACTTTCTACACATCTAAAACCTACAAAACAACAAATTATTGAATTCTAGGTACTTAACCAAACATTTTCAAACCACAAGCCTATAAACATACCAATTGTTTATGGACATTTTTATAACGCGGATGCAGGTAGGCAGCGTCTCGTATATTGATCTAGCCATATAATGTCGAAACCACAAGCCTACTGCAGCTCTATCTATATCGGTGGGAGGTAGATACTTTATACTTCCTGTGATCAAACGGTCCACGCCAAGCATACGAGAGGACCACAATCCCCTCTGGGTCCTTTCGTTTGTTGTGGTGCGGTCTCGTCTCTGCTAACTGTAATATTGAGCTTCTTTGGCTTCTGTTTCCAGAACGAGTCCAATAATTTATCGCATCCAAGTATTTAGCCAAATAAGAGCTCCATCCCTTAATAATATCTCTTAAATCAGCCAATGATATGTAATTTATCATGCTGTCATATACTATTGCCTTAAGGGATGGGATCTGAAGCTCGACGAGAAGCCAATGGTTACGTTCCAAAACAGGGATAAACACCTGCAATCATAAGTAATAATTCATTCATTTGCGCACTTATTTATGAATACCTTTAAACTCAATCTAAAATAAACACTAACCTTATCGACCTCCCACCATGCAGGATAAAGTTTAGCTTGTCCATTGCCCAACGCAAATGATTCATCTCGTTGATTCTTCAAGTGAACGGCGTTAAAAGACGTCGGCATAATTGTATACCGTGTATTTCTTTTATTTTCCTTAAGTTTCCTAATTATTAGAAGACGTGACACCCACGCATCGATGTGCTGTTTTACAAAAAAAGACATATATTAGTAACTTACATAAATTACAAAAAAATAATCAAATGAAAATATAAGAAAATATAAGACTTACCCCTCCATCGAAATAGCCATTGTCTTCGACCCCTAATAATACGCCCCACCAAGACCGATCAAGCAACAAATAGATATCATCATTGAGCTTGCATATGTCAGTGAAACACCCCTGGCTTCGCTCATGTAGATAAAAATCAACTGCGGTCTTAGCCCAAAGGGTGTTATCCAGAATTGTGTCCGGTTGTTGTTTCCTCTCCTCTTCAGATACCGGTATGGTACTGGCCGGTAACTCATACGAGAGCCAACTTGAATCCATCATGTCCGGCATGTCAGAGGGTTTCTCAAGAATCCTACATATGACGCCATGTGAATCGGGCTCTTGAATGGTGGGAGGGACCTCTTCAACGATGACAGTGGCCTCTTGAACGGTGGGAGGGACTCTCGAGGAATGATAGGGGCCTCTCAACGATAGGAGTGGACTCTTGAGGGATGATAGGCGAGTCGGGCTTCTTCTTGCGGTGTCTTCGCACTATTGGGGTATACGGAGACTTAATAGCACGTGCACGCCGTCTGATGCGTGAACTCTGTCGTGCAAGAAAAACCAGACGTAAAGCATCCACCTTATCGGTCTGCTAAATAAAAATACAAATATCAGTAAATAAACAGACATGATATTTAAACAGTGAAAACAAAGATAAATATATTTCAAACTTTCAACCAAAAGACAAAACAAAGACAAATACTAACTTCACAGTGTTAAAGTAAAAAGTTTAGCAGTTTTGGCAGCAACCGAATAAATTTACTAAGCAATCTAAGTGAAATGGTTAATTTAAGTGAAATTACGAGTAAATTTATCATCAAGTTAAATATGGAAAATCTTAAACTTACCTCGTTGCGTAGAGTATGAACCTCATTCTGCAACGATACTACCATCTCACGTAGAGCGGCAACCTCACCACGTAAAGTAGACACCTCCACACGCCATGCACCATCGTTATCGCGTAGAGTACCGATCTCCTCACGCAAGGCATTGACCTCATCACGTAACTCCCTTGACTCATCCCGTGGAGGTGGAGAACAGGGAGATAGAAGTCGTGGCATCTTTGTCGGTCGCCTATCATGAGGTGATGGTGGAGAAGAGACTCGATGATGTGAGGGATAGGTGATGGCTCTCGTTGTAGAGGTGTATAGTCGGGTCGATCAGGTGATGGCTCTGGGTGAGGTGATGGCTCTCGAAGTGGAGGAAGTGGAGGCTGCTCATCATTCGTGCCATCAAAAAAACGCTGACTAGCTTGCCACCAATCAGTGGCAAGCTCAGCCTCCGTGGGTGTCAGTCTCATTAATGGAGTGTTGGCCTCCTAAAAATATAAAAACTAAAACAAAGTTAAACGTCTACTATTAATAACTTGTTTATATATGATAGTATTTGTGTTAACTTACATTATTTATTGTCGCATATGGTATTAAGTCTTCCCAATCCAACATACGTTTCCTCTTCCAGGAAATAGCCCTAGGAATATCATCTGAGGATTTTAATGCATATGTCCGCATGCTGGGGAAAGCCTCGAATATCCAAATCTACAACAATATAATAACAAACATTAGTAATTGTTAAATAATTAATTATAATTTTAAAAACATTATATAGAAATTCTTACCTTAAAGGCCCAAACAAAGCCTGACAAAGTGTATTTCGACCCATCGCCCCGCAAACTTTTGCGGTCACAAAGGCAGACGACAACTTAGTCCAGGTAGCTTTCCATATATACGAACCCCACGGAAACAGATTCCATGCATTTAGGTCCTCTACTAATAATATTAGCTCCTGAGAAATAGGTTGTCTGGCCTCTCTGCCTAAAAAGCCGGCATACAAAAGTAGTAGAAGGCATACTCGGACAACATCGACGTCATTCATCCGAGTAAAACCATCTTTCTTATTAAACAATTTCTTCATGTCGTCGACGTGTAAGTTCGGCTTCTCTATTGACTCATCAGGAAAACCCTGGATAACCATGATGGGCGGGTGATATGACGAGTGTACCGGCCTACATCATCGTATCCGAATCGTAGACCAGTGATTAAGCAGAACTCCTTCCGCCCAAAACAAGTATACGCCGGTGGAAAATGAAACCATATCTCTTCCTCACCACGTTGTATACTGTCGGGTAGATCGCTAGTCATGGTCTGAAGCCACAAATGGGTCAAACTAGCATCTCCACCCGGATGCTGTACTCTCAGCCATGGCCCGAAGCAGGTTTCTTCAAACAATTTTCTTTGTGCAGGTGAAAGCTTCGAAGCAATTGTAGTGGCTAGGCTAACTTTATTCCTTAATGTCAATGAAGCCGAAAAAAATTTCTACAAAAAAACAATAAACATACCAAGTTAGATATACCAAAAATTACACTGTCAAGATATACCAAAAACAAACAATAAACATAAATAGTAGTTTATTCTTGAAACTAAAATTTGCAACACTGTTTTTGTCTTTTGGTTGAAATGAAAATCGCAACGAGATAATGAGAATCGCAACGCGGAAATGACTATCGCAACGAGAGAATCGCAACGCGAAATGACTATCGCGACCAGACAATCGCAACGCGAAATGAAAATCGCAACCGCAAAATAAAAATCGCAACGCGAAATGAAAATCGCAACGCGAAATGAAAATCGCAATGCGATTTTGGTTTCGCGTTGCGATTTTATTTCGCGTTGCGATTATCTCGTTGCGATAGTTATTTCCGCGTTGCGATTTTCATTCTCGAAACTATTCTTCTTCTGCATTACTTCAACCAAAAGACAAAGCAAAGACAAATACTAACTTCACAGGATAAACAGTTTAGCAGTAGTGGCAGCAATCGAATGAATTTAATAAGAAATCTAAGTGAAATGGTTAATCTATATTGAAATTACCAGTAAACTTATCATCAATCTCAATATGAAAAACCTAAAATAATGCAAAAATTTCAAAATAAAAATAAAAAACTAACCCTCGGAGGTTGATTTTCCATTTCTGAATGATTGTGAGGGATTTTGACTGTGAATGGTTGTGAGGGATTTCGCCGGCGATGGGGAAGGAAATCTTCGGAGATGGGGACGGATTTCGCCGTAGAGAGTGAGAGATGGAGATGGGACTGAGTGTTGTGTTTTTGGGTTTGAGGTTATGAGTTACGATTATTGTGGACGGTTCAGTTTCGATTTATTAAGAAAAAATTCGTGTTTGGAATTTGAAAAAAAAAATACGCGTTAATACGAATGGCGCTATGTAAATCGCGTTGCGAAAGTCAGAATCGCGTTGCGAAAGTCAGTATCTCGTTGCGATTTTGTATTATCGCATTGCGATAGTAAGTATCGCATTGCGATAGTCAGTATCGCATTGCGATTTTCCCAATTCGCGTTGCGATTTACTTATTCGCATTGCGAATTGGGAAAATCGCAACGACATTGTATACCATCGCAACGCGATTTCCAACTATCGCAACGCGAAATGCAACGCGAATTTGCGATAATGGAGATCGCGTTGCGAATTAGCGATCGCATTGCGATTTTGTTGGTCATTTTGGCAAATCCAGAAAAAGTTGGTTAAAATCGTATATTATATGGGATTTTTGGTCACTGAGGTTATTTTCTCTTAAAACTATACCCATCTCCCCATGGTCGTAAATTCCTGGAGATTGCTGCTTGAACCAAACTTCATTCATTCTCCAGGCATCACTTGTAATTGCAATCAAATTGTTTTCGAGGCTTAATTTATATGTGGTTTAAGCTGCTAACCGTTCTTGGGTTTGATTGTATGCCTGATTAATTTGGTGCAGTAGATACAATATGCAAAGACAAAGTCAGATTGTATTGCCAAAAATGATGGAAGCTTTGTTCCCAGAGAAAAGAAGAAGCAAGAACAGAAAGGTGACTGCCTAATCTTTTAGTTCTTAAGATTTCCTTACGAATAAATGCATGGTCCTTATTGAACATAAACGAAATGATTTCTTCTTTATTTCATTGTGTTATCATGTGAATGTAATTATCACAATTATGCATATATATGTCTCTAATTATGAATTTCATCCATCTACGTTATGAAAACTGAGAAGTTAGTCCCTTTAAAATGTCTGAATTTGGTCCCCTCGCTTTACCGAAGCTGAGAACTTAGTCCAGTTGTGGTGAAATCGTGCACTTTAACCGTTGATTTTTGCTAATTTGTTGCTATAAACTGCTGGTTATTTCTAATTCCTCACATAAAAATTGCCAAATCGATGATTTCCGGGATAGTATTTTACAGTACATTTTAGCAGGGTTACCCAGTTGGACTAATTTCTGTAGTTTCTATAATGTACCCGGATCGAATTTGGACAAATTAAAGTAGAGGGTTAACTTCTGTAAATTAGAAGGATGAAATTCATAATTGGACCAAATATTTCTGTCACTACCTGCCTTTTTTTATCATAAGGCAGAGGGAGTAACAGAAGATAGTTTTTAAATGCAGGGTACATTTTTGGGTTAGAACTTGGATATTTAGGTTTTCTTTACCTTTTTTCTATAAAAAAAAACACATTTTAGTATGACCACGATATTGCCATAGCACTTCTGTTAATTCCCTTGGGGGATAAATGTCTTCAGTGAACCATTGGTTTCTTGTTTAATGGTGCTATATTTATACTCTTGGCTTTTGCTGTTTGTAAAAAAAGAAGTTAAAAGTGAAAAGGAAGGCAAATGACAAGCCGTTGATTAGAGTTGCTTTCTTGGTGACAGAGAACTTAAAGTTTTGCATCTTTCTGGTTTACTAATTAATTTGCATCCAATATAAACTAATTTTCTTTTGGTTTATTTACTGCTTTATATTTTGATGTCATCCTCTGATACACTATGAAATTTTCAACTGAAAGGAAACGACGTGCAGAGGAAGCACAGCAATATACAATGTCAAATAGCGCAGGTTCTCAAAGTAATGGTGGACCGAAGGTAATTTGCGGAAGTATTTCTATTTGATTGTTGCTTCCTATTTGTCGCCCTCTCTCAAACCAACCGCTTTTACCTATGGGAATTGCAGCTCATGTATTTTGATTGCAGTGCTTAGATAGTTTATAAGATATGACTTCACACTTTTTGGGGCCGCTTTTTTTTTTTTTTTGACTAGAGAGGGATTGAGTTGGCTAACATGCTATTTGGGAAAACTCTTATACGAGTATGTGCAGGCTCCTTTCCATGGAAACGTGAATGCCCAAGAGCAGGCGTTCTGTTCATACAGAATTTACCTCATTAGACAACGAGCGTGATGCTGCAACTGGTTTTCATACAATACCCTGGGTTCAGGGAAGACCGGATGATTGAAGCAAAGTCGGGTAATGCATTCGTGGAGTATGAAGACGAAGAGCAGTCTTCTACAGAAATGCAGAACCTGCAGGGTTTCAAGATCGCCCCTCGGTATCCCATGGCTATCACTTTCGCTAAAAAGTAAAATAACCTATCCTTGTACCGGTGATGTTTAATTTCGTGCCTTGGTATAACTAGGGAATTCCTGCAAGTATGTTGGCGGAATAGTTTTATTATTATGGCTTCATACATACATACATAATCATGGTTTGTAATTGGAGAGTGGGGATGAGAGGTGGGTAGGTGTTAGTGGTGGGAGAGGCACCCAGGGAAGGCATTAACACGTAATTAGGGATGGCAACGGGCCGGGTATTGGTCAATCCGTACCCGTCCTCGCTTAAAAAATCTTGGAGATTTAAACGGGATCTCAATTGGGTAATCGAGGAAAATCGCGGATATATATATATTTAAATTAAATATATAAATATTATATATATTTTTTAATTTAAAGTAAATTTATTAATATTATATATATATATATAAAATAATAATTATTTTTAATATTTATTTGGTCTCGGGTAATCGGGCTGTGTTTGATAATGATGATGGTAGGGAATCCTACTCATTCAACTTTATACCTATATAAAAAATATAAAGGAAAAGAGGGCCTGAAAATGAAAGAAAGACGATGATTGACAAAGGGTGGGGTTGGATGAGATAGGGAGTACTTTGTTGTACGCGGATTGAAACGTGGCATTCATCGTCGGCTTACCTAAAAATGAAAACGTACCACTCTCGTGTACGTTGTTATTTTTTTGTAAGGGGCGAAAGGAAAGGAAGACTTTTCAAACTAAGCCGTACCAAAACATGTGCACTTTGAACTTCGACTTGAATTCAATCTCCCCTTCCCCACATGTTTACTTCCCCATATACATCATCCCCCCTTTCCCCCTATTATTATTCCCAACTTCCCCTCCCTTCCCTCTTTCCCCGAATTACCTCTCTCTCTCTCTTCCCTCTCTCCCCGAATTACCTCTCTCTCTCTCTCTCTCACACACACACACACACAATTTAATATTATCATACTTTTCTTTAGAGTTTAAAATTTCAAAATTTAGGATTTACATTATTTGAGTATATTACATATATCTAAATAGACATATTTATGAAATATTATTATATATAGAATACTAATTTTAAATTAAAATTAAAAATAGAAAACAAGAAAGGAAGGGAGATGAGTTTGGTTTTATTCCTTTCTCTCAATAATGTAGATATCCTATCAATGTAATGATGAGGTTGTAAATTTACATCAAATTTAAAAAATAAAGAAAATGCAGGAAATTCGGCATGTAACTTAATACTACAATTTGTTGCCGAAATATGTCTATATGAATTGTTTTGTATTTTTGGGAAAAGATGAATGAATGAATAGATATAACAATCATATTTAATCGGATAAATTATACTTGTCGGAACCGTCTTTCGGTTGGGTCTGGAATTGGGCTTCGACTTGGATTAAATGAATTGGAGTCGTCACCGACAATTTTAAAACGAACTTAAGTGGGTCGGACATCACCTTACCTGATCTGCGTTGTACTAGAAATATATCGAGTTCGGGAGTCGATTACGGTCAAGGAAGGATTAGCACCCTTGAACCGCCCTTTCGGTACCAATTAATTTATCAGTTGTCTTTAATTGCGAAAATTAAAAATTTAAATTAAAATTTAAAACATTCGATTCGAATTACTTACCTCCGATTATTCGAAACTCTTCTAAAAATAAAAAAAAAATGAGACGAAAATGTTAGATAGAAAATGTTAGATAGAAAATAATAATAAATGAATAAAATCCTAGAATAGTAAATTAAAGGGACATAAAAATAAATAAAAATAAAAGGAATAAATAAAAAGGAGAAAAGAATGAAAAAAACTAAGTCAAGAAAGAGGAAAAATAATAATGATTATAATGAAAATAGATGGATAAAATAATTATGATGAAAAAATATATAAAGAAAACAAAATAAAAAAGGATAGGTAGGAAAAACGTTATGAACATGAATCTTAATAAAGAAACCAAAAATAAATAAAAATTAAGAAGATGGATCAAAATGTAAAATTAAAAAAGAATAGTGGTTGAATCAAAAGAGAAAAAGAAAAGAAAAGTGACTAAATTGAAACCTGCAAAAAAGTACCGGGGCCATTTCGAACAAAACATGAAGTAGGAACTATAATGCAAAAATAATAAATTCAAAATGTCTCTCTCTAAAAATAAGAGAGATCAAATTTCTCTCCTCTCTCTCTACCCAGGCTAATGTCCGACCAGCGTCAAACGTCGCGACGGCCGGAAAAATCGAAACCTCACCGAATGTTCGTCTCCACCCCCCGATCCCAAATCCGATACCTATTTCTCCAAACAAATCTCCTATTGGCGTAGATCTAAGCCAAAAGTCTCGACCTTTTACTTTTATGTCTCTCTCTAAAAATAAGAGAGATCAAATTTCTCTCCTCTCTCTCTACCCAGGCTAATGTCCGACCAGCGTCAAACGTCGCGACGGCCGGAAAAATCGAAACCTCACCGAATGTTCGTCTCCACCCCCCGATCCCAAATCCGATACCTATTTCTCCAAACAAATCTCCTATTGGCGTAGATCTAAGCCAAAAGTCTCGACCTTTTACTTTTATGCTTCTGTTCTCACCGTTTGGCCTTTGTGCTTCGTTGTTTTGCTTGTTCTCTCGGTTTTACTGTAGCGTTCGTTTGGTTGCTGGTATTTTTGTGTGGTTCTTTGGTTCTGTTGTCTTCTCACTGTTCGGTGTTGATGGTGGTTTTTTGGTTTCTGGATATTTGTTGATGGTTCTCGTATACTCCGTGTATTTTTCCCGTTTGGGTTGTTGTTGTGTACGGTTGGTTTTTTTTGTAATTTTTGTGGCTTGATTTGTTGGTTGATATGGGTTTCCCCCCTGTGATGGTTGGTCGTGGGTTTTTATAATCCCCACCGGTCGTTGTGAATCCTGGATATTGTGGAGTGCTCTGTTCGTGGTTGACCGGCCATCCCAGGATGGGTCAGTCCCGGGATAACGGCGTTTCGCCCATGACCCTTGGACTCCCGTGCGGTGCGGTGACTGAACATGTTTTAGGGTTCCCAAACCCTAAACTCCAACGGGTTAGATCAGGCCTGTCCTGTGGGCTGTAACTGTGATTGTGTTGGACTAAAAAATAGACCCTAGACTTGGACATGGAAAAGACAAAAAAAATAAATAAAAATAAAATAAAAATAAAATAAATAATAATAATAATAATAATAATAAGATATATATATACATAAATATTTTCAAAAACATATAATATATAAATTTTCAAATTGTTTTTTTAAAAAACTATATTGTTGAAAATATTTTGATATTTCGATATAACAAATTAAGTTAAATGAATTTTAAGATTTTCCAAATGATTTTCTAAGTATATTTGATAGAATTATTCGAATATCAAAACATTACTCCAAATCTTTCAAAGATCATTTTTAATCCTTACTCAAAGTGTAAAATTAAGTTTTAATCTTAAAACAATTTCAAAATAATTTTACAAAGTATTTCGAACCATTTCAAAGCCAAAAATTCCAGATTGCTCAGAGGGAACCGATTCCCCCCTAAGGGGGTACCGATTCCCCCTGAATGGTTTGGCTCCGAGAATTCCAGTATGCTCGGAGGGAACCGATTCCCCCCAAGGGGGTACCGATTCCCCCTTGTATAACGGTCGAAATATTTGAATTTTACACTTAGGGAACCGATTCCCCCCACGCTCCAAGCTGTTTTATTAATTGTTTTCACACTAAAACGGCTATATGATCTTCACTAATCATCCCCAACGTTCAGAAGTGATTCAAGGTGTATTTAAACAAGTTCTGAAGCCCTTGATCAACAAGAAATTATCGAGAAACAAGAGAGAAAGCATCAAACACCAAGTTTGTGCAAATCAAGCCAAATTTCCTTTCAATATTCATTTTGCTTTCAAAGAACACCATTTGTGCTCATTTGTAATTATTTGTGAGTGTTCCTTTCTTGTTCTAGAATTGTGCAAACATCTTACCTTGTGAGGTTTTTCTTGTAAGTTTGTAAATTTGTATTTCTCTTTGAGAAAAGAGTGTTCTCAAGAATTGGGGTATATTCTTGAGGGAGTTGTAAGGTTATCTCTTTGGCCTCAAAAGAAAGAACAAATTAGTGAATTTGTTGGAAAATCCTTAGTGTGGATAGCTAAGGTAGTGGACGTAGACATTGGTTGATAAAGTCGAACCACTCTAAATCGCTGTGCAATTTCTTTCAATTTTCTGCAAAAGCTTCCACCAAAATTTTTATTGCCAATTCACCCCCCTCTTGGCCGATTCAGTCAATCGATTAACTCAACAATTGGCATCAGAGCCTAACTCATTTGAAGGTTTAATCGCCTCTTAAGTCGATTCGGGAAGAGTTATATCGATAATCAAAGTCATCAATGGCCTCCGCTTCAAACTTTGACTCCGGTCTTGACTCGATGCCCGTCAACAAGCCTCCTTTCTTCAATGGAGCTAACTATGCCTATTGGAAGAATAAAATGATGTACTTAATTCAAGCAAGTGACATGGGAGCATGGAATGCTGTAGAAGAATGATACATCAAACCTCTCACTCATCCAAGGTTGTGGAGTGAAGGAGAGACAAGAATGTTCCAGCTCAACTCCAAAGCCATCCATATCATTTTTTGTGCTCTTGGACCAGATGAATATGGAAGAGTTTCATCGTGTACACCACCAAAGAAATATGGGACAAAACTTCAAGTCACTCATGAAGGTACCGATGAGGTAAAGAAATCTAAAAATTAGTATTCTAACGCATAGCTATGAAAATTTCAGGATGAAACCAAATGAAGATATCAAAGCTATGACGGATAGATTTTCAACGATTGTCATGGTCTCAAATCATATGGAGATCATTTCAAATGAAAAGCTTGTGAGGAAGTTAGTCTACCCTCCAAAATCGTGGCAATCAAGAGATGACAATTATCGAGTTTAAGGACTTAACGTCCTTAACTCTTGAAGAGCTAATTGGGTCACTCCTCACTCATGAAATGATGCTCGAAGATGAGGTTGACCTCGACAAGATTGACGAGACACCAAAGGAGAAGAAGAAGAAGAAGAAAACATTGGAGTTGCTCTCAAATCCAACAAAAGATGAGATGATTCGAATAACGTGACAATGACGAGGAAATGGCATTGTTTGCCAACAGTCAGAAAAATGATGAGACCTTATCGAGGAAGAAAATTCAAACGAAATGAAGGCCTCAAAAATGAACGAAAGAGA